CCTTGCAGGCTGGCAGAGCTCCAGCCTGCAAGGGGCTGCAGGGAGTGGGTGGAGGGCAATCAGGCAGGAGGTGCCATGTGCGTGTGCACACATACACATGAACATAGCTGCCAGGCAACCTGGGGAGCAGCTCCCTGCAGGCAAGTCTGCCAGGAGGGGAGAGGGGGGGATATTGAGGCTCCCATAGTGAGGGAGGGAGGGAGCTCCTGCTCAGCTGGGGTGGTGTGTGGGGCTGCAGGGCCCAGGCTGGGAGCAGGCCAGGGGGGCTAGCTGCCCGCTACTGCACACACTCACAGGGGTACATGAGTGGCACATGCCCCCCAGATTTGTGCATGGGGCGGGAGCAGACTGCACACTGTGGGCTTGGGCTCACCGTCCTACTGCCCTCCTCCTGGGGCCCCCAGAGTCCAGTGTGTGGGACCCAGCGTGGCAGGGCAGAGCAAGACCAGGCAGGGAAGCTCATTGCCATCACTGGGAGCTCCTTGCTGCCATGGCAAGGGGCGCTCATATCACCCAAGGGGGAGGGGGAGCTGACTCCGTGCTTCGCTCCACCACAGCAGCAGTCACCACCTTCCACAGGCAACAGCTGGGGGCTCGGGCTCTGCAGACCCAGGTCCCTGGCCCTGTAGCCCTGGCAGCTGGGGGCCCCCCGTCCAGCAGGGCTGTGGGTGGGAAGGGACACCAGCAGGGGTGGGTTGTGAGAGGGCTGTGGGTGGGGAGTGAGAGGCACTAACAGAGGTGGGGGGCTGTGGGTGGGGACTGAGGAGCAGTGGCATGGGCAGGGTACCAGCATATCAGGGCTGCTCCGCACTGCAAAGCAGTGTGGGGAGGCAGCCACAGCTGGACCCACGTGTCCTGGTGGGTGAAGGGGGCAGAGGGAACTCAGATTTTCCATGATAAAAAACCCAAAATTAAATGCCAAAGTTTCTAGGTATTAAGAATGTATTTTATTGTAGTGATTGAGGCACTGGTAGGCTTCCAAACTGCTTTAAAATTGTAAATATATCAACAAAATATTGTGTTCAATTGATATTATATAGTGTTTCATTTTAACCATGGGAAAATGTGGATTGTGGGGTTTTTAATCACAGAATATGCAACTTTTTTTTTTTTAATCAGAGAATTTGCTTTTTTTAAACAGAAAAAACCAAGATCCCTAGTTATGACTAAAGGTTACATAATAAAAACCTGGTTTTAAATGTTGACCATAATTTAAATAGCAACATCAGAAGGGCTTGTCAGCATCATCCAGTCTTAAAATAAATTGCCCTTTTCTACACAGCGATTGATGACAACATGAAACTTGACCTCTAGGGAAGCCCATCCAAAGATAAAAAATATTTATTCCATCAAAACTGAAGTAAAGTAGACAAGCTGTTTCCAAACTGAGACTTTTTAGAAAATATCAATCACAGCATTACATTTCTATTACTTCCAGGAAGATCTTCCTTTACTAATGAAGAAGAAGCAATTAAAACTGTCTGAGCCATTTATCCAGCAGGGGAAGGGGAATGAGTCCCTGTTCTGCCATTTTGACAAGTCCCTTGTTGGATCACTAAAACCCCCATCCTGAAACTCCAAGTTGCTCATTTATTGAGAGAATCCAGTTCCTGGCAGGACCAGCCCTGATAACTGTGCCGCCAGATTAATCAAATCTGATTAGATACGGTGGGAGACTAATCTATTTACAAACAACCACAGCCCACCTACATAAAAAGCACAAAGTTAACACACGAACAAAGTACCACATTTACTGTCAGGTATACAGAGTAGAAAATATATAAAATGAGTGTTCTGTGCTCAGCATTTTGAATACCTTCTCCCCCCCAAAAAGAAAAGACAAGTCTCTACGTAGGAAGATAAGATAGTTTAGAAATGTAATTCTAAATATCTGTACTTCTATATGGTTGGATTTCTTCAACCTGAATTCTAACCCACTCCTTAACCTACATCCTGAATTTTGATTTCAACCAAAGATTATCAAAATACTGAAATCTAGTCAGGATTTTAGTTTCTGCTTTCTGTTGTGCACAATCAGACTCTGGGAGTTATGATGAACTATGTTCACCTTGTATGGGAAAAGGATAAAGTTAAATATCTTAGCCCTTTATAATCAGCTCTATTATTTGTCTAAAATCTCCTGGATTTATTCCCCAAAATAAGGCTGTACACTTAGCCCCCACAAGTTTTAATTCAAGATGTTCTTCTATTTCTTGCCTGACTAAAAATGTCCTCATCTCTGATTACAAATCACTTTGCTGCAGTCTTCATCAGAAAATAGACTGCTACCTCAGCAAGCATTGGGAAGTTTGGGACCTTGCTCTGCTTATTTGAATGGGGATAAGATAAAGGTAAGGAGAAAACAAGCTCTGTTTTCCCTGAATGTCATCTATTTAAAGACTTGCAGAAGAACCCTCAACAGCTTAACTCCTGCACAGAAAAAGAAAAGACAATGGCAGTTCCTCTTAAAGCCTATATTTGCTCACTTTGCTAGGAATGACCAAGCCTTTGCCTCCTATTTCATTTGTTGTTTTGTATTTTTGGGTTTTTTTTACAATAGCCAATTCACAGCGAAGTCCAAAATGGTGAGATACCACCTCAAACTGAAAGCCAACTTTGTGTCCTGTCATACATCATCATTTTATATTTTTCTGCACTGAATGGTGCTACTGCTGTTTTTCTGATGGATCCACCCCTACAATACCTCCATGCGAGGGACAGCACTCCCTAGGCTTGCAGACAGGAAACACCGTAACACAACTCCTCTCTAGTACACAGGCATATACATAGGGTGCTGTGCTGGTTTAGCCAGGACAGTGCCAGCTATGTGCTGATTTAGTTGGGACATTCCCAGATCTCAGGAACTGTTGAGAATGATAATGGGCGCCCCAAAAAAGCAGGGGCCCGGGGCACAGCCTGGCTGGGAGTCAAATCAGTGCAGAGCACCACCTCCCCAACTTGTGAAAGTGAGGGGCAGCATCCCGGATGTCCGTAGGGTCAGCCTACACGTACACGACGGTCATTCCTAGTGGGCAAGAGCGAGCCCTGCAAACCATCTACCAGCACCTACAGCAGAGTCAGATTTAAAAGGAAAAAAAGGAGGAGGCCAAGTTGTCCCTACTCTGCTGAAAACTTGGGATAAGATCTGAACTGCCCTGAGAGGCACAACCTCCTGTTGACACCAGTGGACATTTGGGGAGTGCGTGCGGGGGGGATTTATGTTCAGTTTTGCTGGAAAACCCACCCGAGAGGTCTGGGCTCATTTAATATACACAGAGATGCAGCACGTCCTCCTGGAGAAGAAAGCAGGGCAATGAAGGGTTAAAAAAAAAAAAAAAAGGATCCCAGGGGAGCACCCCCCAACCACCACGTTAAACACTTCTGCGCTTTTCTGCTTGTGGCAGAAACTTTGCAAACATTGAGCCTAGTACACCTGCTGTCTTGAGCCCATTGCTCCGCCTGAACCGCCAAGGAGTCGGCTGGACATACAGCGCCTCTGGGCCCAGCTCCTCCTGCCTCCCGCCCAGCCCGGCTCCGGCAACCGCGCAGCCCCGGCCCGGCCCCGACGCGCCCCCAACTCCGCGCGGGTTCTTACCCGGTACCTCCGTCCACCACGCACGCGGGCAGCGCGCGGGCCATGCCGCAGCTCCCCCGGCCGC